GGAGGAAGAGGAGGAGGAGGAGGAGGAGGAGGAGAAGGAGGAGGAGGCGGAGGAGGAGGAGGCGGAGGAGGCGGACGCGGAGGCGGAGGCGGAGGCGGCGGAGGAGGAGGAGGAGGAGGAAAAGGAGGAGGAGGAGGAGGAGGAACCCCCAGCGGTGCTCCAGACTTTGACGCGTGCTGGTTCCCCCTCTCTCTCTCTCTCTCTCTCTCTCTCTATATATATATATGTATGTATCGCGCGCGCTCCCGCCCTGCCACACACACACAGCCTTCATTGCTCGATCTGTCGCGTGCGCGTTGGATCGGGATGCTTCGATCCTCCCAGGGCATGGCGTTCCCGCTGCAGCGCCAGCCACACCTCAGTACCGGCGCTCTGCTCCCGCGGTTCGGGATTGAAGGGGCCCTGGGACACACAAATAAATGAACACAAATGAAAGGATTCCCCATCTTTTCCCATGTTTTCTGGGTTTTCGTCTTCCCCCCCCCACTTCCCATATGTTCCCATATGTTCTGGGGAATCGACGGTGAATTGTGTCTGTGTGTTTTTCCCTCCTGAAGGATGGCGCTGCCGTCCCAGCGCAGGCCACACTTCCGGACCCTACCTCTGCGTCGCCGCTGCAGTCCCCTGCTGCCCGCCCGTCCGCCTCCCCCTGCTCCTCTTGTTGCCCCTCCTCCTCCTCCTCCTCCTCGTGCTCCTCCTCCGCTGCCTGCTGCTGCTGCTGCTGCTGCTCCTCCTCCTCTTCCTCCTCCTCTTCGTCCTCGTCCTCCTCCTCCTCACGCACCCCTCTCATGACGCAGCGTGCGTATTGGGTCTCTTTTTCACTGTACGTCACGTCCTTGTTTTCGGGCGTTTTGCTCGGGGCCCGAGTCTTCCCTCCTCTGGCGTTCTGGGTCACAAGCTCTCTTGGCGATCGGTCTCTGTCGCAATAATGTGGGGCTGTGCATACATGATTTTCCTGCTGCTCGCGTATGTCCTTTCACCGAAGTCGACGCGTTATTTCATCTGGGTCTGTCCTCCTCCTGGCTCCTCAATCCTCCTCTTATGGCTCCTCCTGCTCCCTCCTCTCCCCCCTCCACCCTCCCTGCTTCCCCTCCCTCCTTCCGCGTTCCTCACCCTTCGCCCCCCGCCTCACCCCGCTTTCCCTCCTCCCTCATGCGACCACCGCTCCACCGTCCTCGTGCGTCCCTCCTTCGTCCTCCGTCCTCCTCCGTCCCCCCCTTCCGCAGTGAGTGAGTGAGCGAGCGAAGCCTCGGGAGCGAAGCCGACCGAAGCTCCGTGGGCGAGGGAGACTTCGTGAGCGAGAGATTGGGTGGAAGGTTCGTGAGCGAGCGAGCGAGTGAAACTTCCTCTAGGGGAGCAAAAAGTGGCATAAACATAAAAACTCGGAGGTCCGCGCGGATTTCTCGGATCGGCGCTGGGGCCCCCTCCCTGGCGCGCGGAGCGCGCCAGGGGCGGCGCCAGGGGGCCCCGGCGCCGATCCGAGAAATCCGCGCGGACCTCCGAATTGTTATGTTTATGTCACTTTTTGTTCCCCTATCTTCCCTCCCTCCTCCCTCCCTGCTGCAACCTGCTCCTCCGTGCGTGAAGAAGCCGACCGCCTGCCGCACCGCCTGCCCCTCGCGCGCGCGCAAGTGCCTTTGGCCGCGGACCCCTGCGCACGGGGACCCTGCCCGTCGGGGGGGCGGGAGAAGGGGGGAAGCAGGGGGGGGAGGGCGAAGGGGGAGGACGACAAAGAAGAGGAGGAGGAGGAGGAGGAGGAGGAGGAGGAAGAGGAGGAGGAGGGGGGGGGAGGATGAGGAGGGGGGGACGATGACGAAGATTGATGATGATGATGATGAGGAGGAGGAAGGAGGAGGAGGAGGAGGAGGAGGAGGGAGGAGCGGGAGGGGAGGCGACGCCGATGTCCCAGAACGTCTGGCCCTCCGCGGAGCTGAGGTCGGAATTCCTGACGAGTCCTCGAACGAAGCAGCCTGCGAACCTCGGGAGGCCGCTTCCCGGACCCAATGGAGTCACCGACGCAGGCCGCAGGAACCTCCGGCCGGTGACCTCAGGGGGCCGCATGGGGCCACCGAGCAATCCAGGGCACCATAAGAGGAAGAGCTACCTAGCAGGGCTGAACCTAAACGGTGTTGTTCGTTTTCGTTTTGTGTTCGCTTTCCCTCATTTCTGTCTCCAACCCGCCTCTGCTGCAAAACGAGGTCGAAACGAAAACGGCCCACGAGATCACACAAAAAAACCCTTTTGGTCCAGCCCCGCTACCAAGCCACAGTGCGCACCTTGCGGGACTGCCGCCTCCTCCTCCTCCTCCTCCTCCTCCTCCTCTTCCTCTTCCTTCTCCTCCTCCTCCTCCTCCTCCTCCTCCTCTTCCTCCTCCTCCTCCTTCTCCTCCTCCTCCTCCTGCTCCTGCTTGGCTTCGAGCAATGCTTCGCGAACTGCCGGCCCAGTGTCTCCCACGTCCGTCCCGTGCCCTGCACGACGGGCTGGGCCTCCAGAAGAGCGGGTGGAGGCACCCCTGACCTCAGAATTAAGGTCAAAAAGTACTCAAACATTATCCTGGCAAAGCAACCTAACAGCGATGTGTATAAGCATATCTGGAAGCATTCCCCTTTAGATTCAGGTGAGAATCCAGTTGTAGAATTCTGCTGTTCTCGCAGTCGCAGTCGCATTCGCAATGACAGTCGCAGTGGCAACGGCCTTAGGATCCAATAGAATCCTAAGGATTCCCAAGGAATCCTGAGGATGCTTAACTGTGGCCTACGGATTCATAAGGATGCCTACGGATTCCTAAGGATTCCTAGGGATTCCTAAGGATTCCTACGGATGTCTCAACCTGCCTCAGTTTCAGCCTCAGCCTCAGCCTGCCTCGGCTTGCCTCAGCCTCAGCCTCAGCCTGCCTCGGCCTCAGCCTGCGTCAGCCTCAGCCTCAGCCTGCCTCAGCCTCAGCCTGCCTCAGCCTCAGCCTCAGCCTCAGCCTGCCTCGGCTTGCCTCAGCCTCAGCCTCAGCCTGCCTCGGCCTCAGCCTGCCACGGCCTCAGCCTGCCTCAGCCTCCCCTCCTCCCCCCCCCATTCAGCCGCACCTTGTCTCAGCTTCGGCCTGCCTCGGCCTCATCCTCAGCCTCAGCCTCAGCCTCAGCCTGTCTCGGCCTGAGCCTGCCTCGGCCTCAGCCTCAGCCTGCCTTAGCCTCAGCCTCAGCCTCAGCCTCAGCCTGCCTCGGCTTGCCTCAGCCTCAGCCTCAGCCTGCCTCGGCGTGCCTCAGCCTCAGCCTCAGCCTGCCTCGGCCTCAGCCTGCCTCGGCCTCAGCCTGCCTCAGCTCGGGCATTCAAAATATGGCACAGGACTAGTAGTCTGGGAACACGAAGATCACGAAATGGCCCACGGTTCTGGGAACACGAAGAACACGAAGTGGCCCACAGTTGGCTCCGGGCATTCAAAATTAGCCTGGGAATGGTGTTCTGGGAACACGAAGAACACGAAGTGGCCTACAGTTGGCTCCGGGCATTCAAAATGTGGCCTGGGAATGGTGTTCTGGGAGCACGAAGAACACGAAGTGGCCTACAGTTGGCTCCGGGCATTCAAAATGTGGCCTGGTAGTTGTGTTCTGTTGGCTCCGGGCAGTCAAAATGTGGCTCCTGGCAGTGAAACTGGGATGTCCCCGGTTTTCCCTGGCATCCCCCAGATCCTGCCCAGACCCCCTGGGGAATCAGGATGCTCTCTTTTGACCCCACTAGAAACCTATCAGTCTTCGCTGTTAGGTAAATAGTCCCCAGACTATGTTTGGACTATGTTTGGGGTATTTTTTATTTTTCGTCGAAAATCCCCCTGTAGGGGGACAGGCCCGACTTACCCTTAGAAGTGCAGCAGCGTGAGTTGGAAAGTAAGAACGTATGGTGGGTGGGTCAGGCGAATTACTATGAAAAGTCAAATGTCCGTTCGGGGACCCCCTCTGGGTCCCTTCTTGGAGCCCTCCAGGGAGCCTCTTGGGCCGTCTTGGACGCCGTGACAGCCCAAGAGGCGAATGCGGTAAAAATGCACGTCGTCCTAGAAAGAAATGGGGCCATTTTTGCTTCTTGGGGCTCTCTCTGGGGGCCTCTCGGGGCAACGTGGGGGCTTCTTGGCGGTGTTGGAGGCATCTCTGAGGCCATCTCGAGAGCAAGAGAGAAAGACAGACAAGAGAGAGAGAGAGAAGAGGGTGAGGAGGAGCGTAGAGGGAGAAGAGAGGATGCAGAATGAAAAGGAGATGCAGAGTGGAAATGAAAAGGGTAGGCGGATGGCAGAGGGAGGAGGTGGGAACAAGGGAGGACAAGGATGCAGGATGGAGGGGGCAGGACAGAGGGGGCAGCAGGGCGAAGGCAGTAAGGTACTAAAGCAATGGGAGCAGTAGGCATCAGAGGGAATAGCCAGAACGTAGGAAACGGAGAAGGATCAGGAAGGAAAGACGGATGGCCAAGGGGGATGCAAAATGGAGATGAGGGGGGAGAAAGAGGAGAAGGCCACAGGGAGGAGGCAGGATGCGAAAGGAAAGGCACGGCGATGCTCCTGCGGAGGGAGGGCGGAAGAGGAGGAGAGGAGAGAATGATGGGAGCACGATGGTGGGTGCAGGAAGGGGCAAGGCGGGGTGCCAGCCTGGAACCGAGGAGTCTCTTCGGGTGCTTCCCTGGGCGGTCAGAAAGCAGTCTGAGGGGCCAGGGGACCGGCGAGGGATCACGCCCGAGGTCGCGCGTCGTCGTCCTGGTCGTCGTCTTCGTCGTCGTCCTCGCCGTCGTCGTAGTCTTCGTCGTCGTCGTCGTCGTCGTCGTCGTCGTCGTCGTCGTCGTCGTCTTGGTCCTCGTCGTCGTTGTCGTCGTCGTCTCCGAAGCCCTCGTCGCATTGTTTGTCGTCGCTGAATATCGCGGAGCTGTTCTGGGATCGTCGTGGAGCTCTGTTGGGCCGTCGTTGAGCCTCTTCGGCCATCTCGAGCCTCTCGGATACCTCTTGGGCATATTTTGGAGTTGTACATCGACTCTCCGAAACATGTGTGTGGCATCCCATTTTGCGGTGGAGCGACCTGCTCCTGTCGCCACTGATGGCAGCGTCCCTGCCGTCGTGCTCGCAGCAACGATTGCTGGCTCATTGAGCCAGCATCGCTGTGAAGAGTCTGGCCGCCGTCTGGATTCCGCAGCAACGACCGTCGGCTCGTTGAGCCCGCATCGCTGTGGAACGACCTGGTCTTTTCACCAAAGATGGCAGCAAACTCCAAGCATAAAAGTGGCAGTACTGTACTGCTCGCTCTGGAGAGCCTCAGTGATCAACCCAACGCCCGACAGCGATGTTGGCCTCTGCGGGCCCTGTTGGGAGCTGATTTGAAGTAATTCCCGGCCCTCTTGGGACTCTTTCTGGCCGCCTAATGACCCTATTGGGTCGTCTTAGGGATCTTCGGTCGTCCAGCGGCTCTCCCGAGTCACTCGGGAGCCCTTGTGGGGGCCTCTTGGGGCCTCTTCGGCCGTCTTGGGGCTCTTTCCCAGGTGGAGAGAAGAGGGAGGAACGAGGAGAGCGCCGAGAGAAGGAGAATCTGGGAGGAGCGAGGATACAGGAGGAAGGCAGGATGAGATAAGACCCTGCCTGGGGAGGGCAGAGAGAGAGGAGGAACGGAGGGAATGACAGGAATGGGGGCACCCTTCACGCGGATCGTGCCCCCCAGTGAGCGAGGACACTCTCGGACTGTCTTGGCTGGCATTCGGTTTCGTATTCGGCGTTTCGGCATTGGCTGGAAGTGGGGGGGATGGGGGGTCTGGCTCCGGACCTCTGCTGAGTGCGACTGCTTGCAGCAGTGCGCCCATCACGGGGGAGGCTGCACCTGCTTCAAACAGGCGCCAGAAACAGCCAAGATCCACACCAGGTGTGGGGTGGGGGGGGGAGATGGGGGCGGTGGGAGGCGAAGAGGGGTGGTGCGAGGGCCCGCGCCGTTCGGCAGAACAGTGAATCAAAAACGATCACCCGCCTTTTGAGGCTCCCGAGCCCGCCTCGAGGGCGCCTCGCCTCGGGAGCAGAGGTCCAGAGCACCCTCGACGAGCACCCTCGAACGGGCCTCCGAGAGGAGAGGAGAGGAGGGAGGAGGAGGTAGGAGGAGGAGGGGAGGAGCAGGTTTGTGAGGAGGAGGAGGAGGTTGGGAGGGGAGGATGGAGGGAGGGAGTAGGGTAGGATGGGAGGATGATGAGTGGGGGGATCGTGTTGCAGGCTAGGGGTGGGGGGTGTGGGGGGGAGGTAGGAATAGGGATTGAGAGGAGGAGGAGGAGCAGGGGGAGGAGGAGGAGGAGGAGGAGGAGGAGGAGGAGGAGGAGGAGGAGGAGGAGGAGGAGCAGGAGCAGGAGGAGGAGGAGGAGGAGGAGGAGGAGGAGGAGGAGGAGGACCTCTGGGCCGGGGCCGGGAGGACTCCGGCCCAGCACGCCACCGAGCCCGGGTCTCCTGGGCAAAGAGGCCGCTGGGATGCCCGTCGGTGTCCGTCTGGAAGCCTCCGGGCAGCCTTCGGGAGGCAAGCCGGAAGCCCCCTGGGGAGCCCTTTTGGGGCCTCTCCTGGGCAATCTTGGGTGTCGGCTTGGAGCAGCATTCGGCCGTCTCGGGGCCCTCTTGGGCCGTCTTGTGGCCCTCTTGGGCCGTCGTGGGGGTCTTGGGCCGTCTAGTGGCTCTCCTGGCGCACTCTTGAGCCCGCGCGGGGGGCGTCTTGGGGCCCTCTAGGGCCGTCTTGGGGCCCTCGAGGGCCGTCTCGGGGCACTCTTGGGCACTCTTGGGGGCCTCTTGGGTCGTCTTGGGGCGATGTTTGAAACTTGTGTACGTCTCTGGGGCAGCGATCGTGCATGTCTATAAAGCAGGCCATTTCGGGGCGCACGGCCGCCCATTACGCTCTACGCCCACACTCGCACTTCACACTCGCACTGCACACTCGCACCCCGCACTTGCCCCCACACTCACCCCCGCGTTCTACGCCCACACTCGCACTTCACACTCGCGCTGCGCACTCGCACCCCGCACTCGCACCCCACGCTCTACGCCCGTTCTCGCGATCCACACTCGCACTTCGCACTCGCACCCCGCACTCGCACCCCGCACTCTACGCCCACAGTCACCCAACAGAGTCACCCAACACAGTCAGTCAACACAGTAGCCCAACACAGTAGCCCAACACAATAGCGCAACACAGTCGCCCAACGCAGTCACCCAACACAGTAGCCCAACACAGTAGCCCAACACAGTCGCCCAACGCAGTCAACAGACACAGTCACCTGACGCAGTCACCCAACACAGTCACCCAACACAGTCGATCAACACAGCCGCCCAACACAGTCGTCCAACGCAGTCACCCAACAGTGTCACCCAACACAGTCAGTCAACACAGTAGCCCAACACAGTCGCCCAACACAGTAGCCCAACACAGTCGCCCAACGCAGTCACCAAGCACAGTAGCCCAACACAGTAGCGCAACCCAGTCGCCCAACGCAGTCAACAGACACAGTCACCTGACGCAGTCACCCAACACAGTCACCCATTAAAATCACCCAATACAGTTGCCCAACACAGCCGACCAACGCAGTCACCCAACAGAGTCACCCAACATAGTCACCCAACGCAGTCAGTCAACACAGTAACCCAACACAGTAGCCCAACACAGTAGCGCAACACAGTCGCCCAACGCAGTCACCCAGCACAGTAACCCAACACAGTAGCCCAACACAGTCGCCCAGCGCAGTCAACAGACACAGTCACCTGACGCAGTCACCGAACACAGTCACCCAACACAGTCGATCAACACAGCCGCCCAACACAGTCGCCCAGAGCAGCCACACAACACATTTACCCAGCACAGCCACCAAGCACAGTCACCCAATGCAGTCGCCCACTCATTTCGGCGCCCCCGCAAAAATCGGTTGAAGCCGATTGTCTGGTTCCTATGTGGATATCTGCACTTCTGAACCAGCTAAAAGAAGCACTCGCGCGTCCGAGGGCGGTGGTGACCCAGTCCACAAAGCTGCTCGTGCCCCACTGGCCGATCCGATCCAGAAACGACGGTTCCCAAACGAATTGCCCCGTTCGCCTCTTCAGAGGCCCCCCTGGCTACCTTGGGGGGCAGGGAGGAGGAGGAGGAGGAGGCGGAGGAGGAGAAGGAGGAGGAGGAGGGGAGCAGGAGGAGGAGGAGGAGGAGGAAGAGGAGGAGGAGGAGGTGGGGGAGGGGGTGGAGGAGGGGACGAGGAGAAGCGGAGGAGGAGAAAGAAGATGTAGGAAGTGCAGGAAATGGAGGAGTGAGAAGTACGGGGGTTGAGGACGAGACAGGGGACGACGAGGAGGACGAATACGGGGAACAGGGAGCAAGAGGAGGGATGACGACTCCTCCCATCCCCCGCCCGCGCCATTCTTTGACGCTTCGTTACCCCCACCAATTACGGTCTGTGCCCCAGTCGTTTATCCCGCTTCAAGACCTTTGTCCTGGAGCCGTCAACCAAAAAGTACCCCCACCAGCCCATCCATCAACGATACCCAGGCAGGGGGTCCATTTGGGGCGGTGTTACGCATATCATGATTGAAGGAGGCCGGTAATGATGAAGTTTGAGACCTGGGGCCCTCCCCAGGCCTTCGGGGGCTTTCTTGGGGCCGGCATGGAGGCCATCAATCAATGAAGAGAGGTGCTCAATGTCAGTCCCCCCGCTGGGGTCCGACAAAGCATCTCTTGTGACCATCATGTGGCGCTCTCGGGTGCCATTGGGGCCGTCTTGGAACCCTTCTGGGCCCGTCGGGCTCTCTCGGGCCATATTAGGGCTTCGGGAGCCCGTCGGAGGCGAACAATCGAAAAGGCAAACAATGTTTAACAAAACACCACATTTGAAGAAAGATGACATATTCGGGGTGCCCTTGAGAACCTCCGTTGCCACTTGGAGTCGCATTGGAACGGTTTTGGGCATCTTGGAGGCACTACGCCCCCTCGACGGCCATATTTAGCGATCAGGGGTCCTCTTGAAATCATCCTGCGCCGCCCTTGTCGCTCTAACTCTTCGCGCCCCTCCCGGCCAGACCCAGGGGCAAGGAGGTGCCCCCCCTCCCCACAGGGGAAGGATGCTGCAAACGCGAATTATTGACGCTTCGCCTATCCCCACCAGCCCATCCAACAACGATGCAAAGGCGAGTTGAGGTGTTGTTGTGAGAGGTTCGCGGAGGTATCTTGGAGCTATCTTGGGGCTCTCTTGGGGTCCTCTTGGGGTCCTCTTGGTGTCCTCTTGGGGCCCTCTTGGGGCCCTCTTGGGGCTCGTTGGGGGTCATCTTGGGGCCCTCTTGGGGCTCCTCGGGGGGCTCCTCGGGGGGGTTTGAAAGGTCTCTTGGGGTTGTTTTGTGCCCCATGGCTCAAAAGAGGGGGGGTCCCCGATTCAGGCGCCCCCCCCCCCCTTTGAGGCTCAAAAAGGGCGCCTTAGGGCCCTATCGGAGCGCTCTTGGGGCGCTCTTGGGCGCTCTTGGGGCTCTCTTGGGGTCCTCTTGGGCCCCTCTTGGGGCTCTCTTGGACCATCCCGGGGCGATCTTGAGGCCTCCGAGGCCCGTCGGAAGCGAAAAGGCGGGAACGCCACAAACATTGATTTCCCTGTGGTTTTGGAACCGTTTTGGCCTCTTGGGGGGAACCTTGGAGGGCTCGGCGGGCACTTGAAACCGTCTTGGGGCTGTCTTGGGGCCTCCTGGAGGCATGTCGGAGGCTAGCTTGAGCCATCTTGAGCTGTTGTGCGCCATCTTGGAGGCCATCGTGGGCTCTCTGAGGCCCTCTTGGAGCCATCTTGGGGGTTCTAGCGCCTCGCGCCCCCCCCCCCCTCCCGGGCCCAGGGGGGGGGTAGGGGGAGGGGTAAACCCCTCCCCCGAGCAGGGGAAGGAGGGGTTGTGGAAAGAGGAAAAAACAAAGTTTGTTAAACCACCTACGCCCACAGGGCTGCTGAGATTCGGTTAACCACGCAGGCCCTGAAGTTCTGGCGTGGATATCGCCACCTCTGTCGCCCCACCTCCTCGCCCCCAACCGCCCCCCAAAGCCATTTTGGCCCAAATCTTCGGTGCCATCGCCATCGCCCAACGCGCATTGCACAACAGGATGGGCGTACCTTGACCGCACGCGCACATGGATTCTCTTCCCAACCCTTTGGATTTGTCAGAATTCAAAGTTTAGTCAGCGAGGGCTCAGAACCCAGCGGCTATCAACAGAGCGATTTGATGATGGATTCTCTTCCAGGCCCGATCGATTTGTCAGAGTTCCAGAGTTTGGCCGGCGAGGGGTCGGAACCCAGCGGCTGCCAGCAGAGTGATGTGATGATGGATTCTCTTCCTGGCCCGATGGATTT